ATGCTGGGTTTAATTTAGGTGTGCTATTGGCACTTTTTGTTACTGGAATGAAGGGAGCCACAAGTCTGCAAATGAAGCAACCTGAACCCTTCACCACAATCATGGAGTGTAGCAAAAGTGCAGTGGCTCAGCATTTCCAGGCTTTGATTTCTTTTTACTCTGTCTTGCCAGACTCTGGAGTGCTTTGTCACCTATTTAGTTGCTTAAAGATAGCTTTTAAAGTACAAAACGTCAGCCCGAGCCCAGTATTGAAGCTGTAAAGATTTAAAAAATTCCAGCTATTCCTTTGGTTTAGCAACCATAAAGTTGTTGCAACTGTTATCATCTGTAGTGGTCACAAGGAAGTGACATTGTCCAATCAAAAAACCCACCACAAGCCAAGCCCCTTAACAAGGACATACTTTAGATGATGGCTTGACAGCTTTTTTCCTACTTTGTATGAACTGACCAAGTTCAGTTGTTTTTTAGAAGCATTTGGAGGTGTTTGGGTGTTTTTACAGTACAAGAGAAAGTGGTGACTAATATACCACCCTTCTCCTTGCTTCTGAAAATGTGCTTTCTCATAAAACTACTGGAAGAACAGAGAACTATGGTTAGTAACTCCTTGATAAAGCTGGATTAAGATTTTGCTTTATTTATGTTAGCAATAATCATTGTGCTTTAGTGGCATTTGAAACAGCTGGAACCTTATGTTTCAGCTGATGTTTTGATATGTCATTTTTTTCTATTGGACTTTGGTCCTGATTTCCTGGTCTATGTGAAACAGACAAACCATTTATGTATTCAGAGGAGTGCTTTTAATTTAGGAATTTAGAGAATTACCAAAGGTAGTTGTTTTAAGTCTCTGCCACTCATTCAGATACCTTAGTCACTGAAGGCTAGGTTAGGAAACAGATTTAGGAACAGAAGTTGGTACAGAAGTCAAATTCAAGTACTGTTTCTTTAAACTAAAACTAAACCCTGAAAACCCTCACTCAGCTAAAGTACTTAAACACAGTAAATACAACCTTTTTCCCCAGTGTCCTGGGTTCAGCAGTAGCAGTCATTTTTCTCCTTCTTGGTAGCTGGTGCAGTGCTGTGTTTTGACTTTCAGCCTGGGAACAGAGCTGATAACAATGATGTTTTGGTTTGGTCGCAGACTTTGTGAGCCTCATGCTCTGCCAGGGAGGAGGGGAAGCCGGGAGGAAGCAGAGGTAGGATACCTGACCCAAACTGACCAAAGAGGTATTCCATACCACAGCACGTCATGCCCGGGATGTAACTGGGAGTTAGCCTGAAAGGCTGTGAAACTGCAGGGTTGGAGGAGGTATCGGTCAGTGCTTGGTCGGGCTTGGGGGGCGAGTTATCGGTTGGCTGGTGCTGAGATGTTATATTCTCTTCCCTTGTTATTTCCTTTATCATTGTTATTATTGGTGGTAGCAGTAGTGGTTTGTGTTATATCTTAGTTACTAAACTGTTCTTATCTCAACCGTGGGAGTTGCATTCTTTTTGATTCTCTTCTCTGTCCCTCCGGGAGTAGGGGGAGGGAAAGAAGGGGGCGAGTGAGTGAACAAGTTGCCTGACTGGGTTTAAACCACAACACCCAGCTTTAAAATATCACACTTTTGAGGGCACATGCTTAAAGGCACCTGAGGCTTGATAAAGCTCAGTAGTGAGATACCATATGTATAACCAAATTCCTGCAAAAGCTCTACACCAGGAGTTCCCTTGCTGGAGGAATCCAGCTGGGAGATGCCACTGTCATCTGAGGTTATTGTCCAGGGCTGAGTGAATGTCTGCATCCACAAAACTAAAAAACACATAGATGGAGCATCTTTAGTTACAGCAAATTGAGGCTGTCTGGAATATCACTGGAAAGAGTTAAAAGGGGTGCATGGACTGCAGTGGCTGATTACTTTAACTCTGCTGGGTGTGTTACAAACCTAAGCAGTAGATTAGATGTCAAGTTTGTTGTACAATGGCATAAGTTTCTAAACTTTTCATGCTGCTGCTTATCTCCTGAGAGCATCTGCCCCACTGGGCAGGGCTTCCAGGGTAATTGGAGTCTGAAAGGGAAACAGCATAAGCTGTGGCATTGCAAGAACTGGCAACTGTTCCTAAACCAGCCACAGTACTTAACTAATCCTCAGCTTTTGCTTCCAGGTTGCAGAGCATGAAAAGCTGCAGATTTTATAACTGAGGGTCTAACTGTTGAGGATGAAACCTCTGGAGGTTGCAGAGCAAAATGATTATTTTATAGGGGAAATCTGAATATCCAGAGGACATGAGGAATTCTGAAAAGGGAAGTAAAAGAAAAACATTTATGACCTATCAGGTGCTGTGTAACAAAACATTGGCCATAGTCTGTGATTTCAAAGTTAAATTATTTAGGAAAATGGGCTTGAGACCTGCAAATACTAATAGGAATGCTATGCATGTTGAATCCTTGAGATCTTACAAACGTGGCTTTTCTATGCCATGTCAGAGCACAGGATGAGTTTCACCAACTGGAGCAAGTGGTAATTGTGACATCAAACTGAGTTCCCTTTAATCTATCATATTTTTGCTTTCATTTTGTTCCACTTATCCAATATACTCTTCCCCAGCCTTTTGTGTATAGGGTCAAACTTACCTGTACCATCAGGAAAACGAAAGACTGAAATCCTCTCTCTGCTCTGTGTGAAGGATGTGTAGATCTTGAGTGAGGACTAGCTGACTAGCTGGAGAGTCTCAGGTCTGACCAGGCAGAGGTAATGTTGGCATGAAAGGGAAGCAATCAAAAGGAAGTACTGATAATATCTATCACCGCTGATGTCTATGTAAATAGTTAATAGATAAGGTTTCAGGAGATAAGTTCTCTAAGGCAAATAAAATTCCTTCTTTTTGTTCACTGTAAATGGTTTCCTTTGTAGAGTTCTTTGTATCAGCTCTTGACAGCATCAGTCCTCTACAGGGTGTGTGCATTGGGTCCTTGTTATGCAGGTTTGCATGTCAGGGTTGCCAGAAGGCTCAGCTCTTGCCTCTTAACCTTTAGCCCACAACATGCAGCATCTGAGTTTGGTTCTTACAGATACCACTTCTCTTTCAGGTGTGAAGTTAGTAACTATTACCCAAGACTTTGTCACTTTGAGATGTGGCTGCAGTGATGCACTCTAAGCCAGGGCAGAGCTGAACCTTCTGTAGAGTGCATTGGGCAATGCAGATGGAATGATAGCTACCCAACGGTCTTCTAATTTTGGGTATCTTAGGTCCACTGATAATTTATGCCTCTCCAGCCCCAAATGTAGATAATGACCATGTGTTATATTTGCTGTGTGAATGCAGAACTGCTACAGAACAGCAGGCTATAATAAAACTCAAGGAAATCCATATCCCACTGTCATTTCATACTGGATATGAGGTTTGACCATACTGCAATGTGGGATGTGTGGCAGCTTTTGTACAGGACTAGGTTGGAGGGCCTTTATGGATAAGACATTGGGCACAGTCAGAAAGAGAAGCTAATGACAAAATGTCCTAATCAAAGCCCAGTGAGTTTCAGACTTTTCCTTCTCAGTGAATGTCTTATGGTTTTTATTTCCACTCCCAATGAAAGCACTAAAACAATCCAGAAAACTATTACAAAGCATGACCAACAAATAACTGTTGGCCAATCAACATTATTCGTTTGAATAAAAGCAAGATTTTAAATCTAGATCTCAATTTGAAATAACATGGAAAATAGGGGAAAAAAATTGCAATGCAAAATGGCATTCCAAAAAATGTAGTAACATCTAATTTTCAGCAGGGTGATTCCTTGGCTTTTCTCTTCAAAAGGAACATCACACTTACGCAGATGTTTTGTCTTCAAGAATTGGCAGGTTTGGAGAGTCTGACTGTAATTGTAAAATACCTAATGATATCTTAGCATGGTGATCTAATCCCAATGAGTTTTAAGTGTTGCTAAGAACCCAGAATATCTAAAAATATCTGAAACGGTCCTACAGAGAAGGTTGTTGGTTTTTTTTAATTGATCATCCGGAGTATTTGCATGGACAAAATTATAATAAGGAAAAGAAACATTAAAGAAGTTGCACAGATTTTCCTCTTGGTCTAGAACTTGTCTTTATCAGAAGACATTTTTTAACTGAAGTGGACCAAGCCACAATACTGCGTTCCTTTGGACAGTCTGTGGTAGCTCACATTAATTTTCACAGGCTAAGCCTGAGGAAATCTTTCGAATATTTTCTGTTCAACTGAAATGGTATTCCAGAAGAGCACTCACTTATGGATGAGGTAAAGACTGTTTTCTGGTCAGCTTCAGCTGCAGCTGATTGCATTTTTAGCATTGATTTGCATGGCAGATTGTGTAGCACTGCTCCCTACTGCTTGACAGGAGGAGAGAATTCAGGCCCTGTGGCTGCCCACTGGGATTAGACCCCCAATGACACCTATGGTTTTACAGCAGCAATTAACCTCAACAGTAGCTTTTGGAATCAATGGAAATTAAATGCAGATAACAGGCATTAATTGAACAGTTATTGGAAATAATTTAAATTAGGTAGAGTTGTGACTTAGTTAATGGAAATTAATGACTACCATTTGGGTTATAAGCACAACTGCTGGAATGTAACAGAAGTCAATACAAGCAGTTACAAATGGCTGAGATAAGGAAGTACTTATTGATATTAGTGATCTTCAATATTTTCCATTGGAACTACAATCTAATACAGACCTTATTGCTGTGGACTTCACCTAGAGTACAGGGATAAGAAATCGTTACTAATATTATAGATGTAAAGTGTCACTAATCTGGTAATTAGCTACACTGGGTATTGAAATAATTAATGCTGTAGATCATTCTTAATTATAGTCTTGTATTTACAGACCAACTGGAACCGAGGCTGTTATTGATTAAAAGAGGTGCCATATTGCAGACTTTTCTAACCCCGTAACTATATTGTTCTTGAATTTCATATAGCTTAGATTTTTACATCTGATTTGAATTACTTGAGTGTCTTAAAGATCTGTGTTCCAACCAGATGCGAGAAATGGCTTTGGTTTGGAAAGTTTCAAGGAAGGACCACCAAATAATGAGGTAAAAAGCAAACTCTCTATTATTTTCCCCCCTGCACCTTCAGTGGAAAATAGAAAACAAAACAGAAGTATCCCAATTTATTAATATGATTTGGGATCCTGTCAGGAAAACGTTCTCTATCTGCTAAGTTTCTTTATCATTTTTTCCAGCCTGAGGTTATATGCTCGACTTGATAAACCTCTGAAATTGACAGAATTAAACATTTCTGTACATGTATTACTATTTACTGTGCTTTATGCATGTTCTGTCACAAAGCCAATGCTTTGACTTTGCAGCATTTTTGCTAGTTAAGCACTGCAGGCTGATAATTGCAGTAATTGCCTGTACTGCTACAATACATATATTCTAGTTAACCATACTAAACCTGCAACCTTTTTCATGTCATTGAACTTCTGGATTTTTTATTTAACTTGTCTATTTAAAAAATAAAATTCTAAATTTAATTCAACGTTCAATTAAATAGGAAGATGTTACCTCTTTAAGAGGAAGATTATGTGTTACTTTTGTACCGCATTTTGTTTTGTTGTCTTTACTTGATGGAAATACTTTATCTCTCAGAATGGTTTTTGTGTTGCAAAGTTATGTGAGAAAGATTAAAGACATTCTGGTTTTTGAAATGTTCTGTGACATGTAGAGAAAATCCTCTATTCCTGTGAAAGTTTCATTAGTGAACTGGAATGGCTGCTAGAAATTGACCACAGAAAGAGCATGAAAAAAGCAAAGTGAATTTATCTACAAAGGGTAAATAAAGGTTGGAAATTTCTTTTGGAAATAGTTCTAAAGCTCTGTTGAACATACCAAAAAAAAAAAAAAAGACTTAACTAGGTTGTTATGCCATATACAATGCTTAATAATGGTATGTATTTCAAGCTAGTGGTAAAAACAAAGGAACTGTAACAAGCAGGTTACTGTCAGCTCACAAAGATACCATCTTACTCATCTGTGAGAAGTCCATTGAGTATAGAGACCACATTTCAAGTACTGAAACGACTAGAAAATACAACTGGCATTATTCCTTTTAATTATACCTGTGATTTGTTTCAGGATTTATAATTCTGACCTTGATATGCTATAAACAGAATTTAAAAGGAATTAAGGTTGGTTGTGTGTGACAACCCACCTTAACATAAACTCGTCTGCAAAAAGACTGTTAAATGCCCAGACCTTACACACAGTATGTCTTCCCTGGCTCCCAAACTGGCGTTCAGGAGATGTCTGCTCACAATGAAAAAGCTGGGGCTGCCTCTGCATCTGCCATGTACCCTGATGTCTGAAGCAGAAACCAGAAAGGTGCCAGCATCTCTCCTCCCAACAGAAACAAAATGCTATGAATCAAATATTTTTCTTACATGCAGCTCTCAGATGAACTGAACTGCCTATGACCTAGTCCTGCTGGTAGCTCCTGTCTAGCTGGAAATTTGGGAAAAGATGGCCATGTCTTCTTCAAATTCCTTTCCGCATACCACACACACACACACACACACACACACACACACACACACAGAGTTGTGAAGTGGTTACATCCTGACTGAGGGTTTTGTTACAGTTTGGGTTAAGCCTTGTTGAAAATGGTAGGTGTAACCACCGCCCTTCTGAGCTCCAGGAGACCGTTCAGCACACGTCTCTGCCCAAAACAAAGGCAAACGTAAGGTTTGTAAGGTTGCTCAGGAATGTGAAAGGTCTGGGTGGGGAGCCTGGTTGAGTTTGTTTTGGGCAGGGATATGTGTGGAGGAGAGAGGGAGCAGACTGAGCAGCAGAGATGGAGCTCAGGAACAGACTGGGAGGAAAGGGAGGCAGTCCGTAGGCACTCTGGTGCACAGCTTTGGGAGGAGCTTGGGGAGAGGGCTTTCAGTCACAGGTTTGCTGGAAAGACCTTGGGAACACAAACAAAGAATCCTCCCATTACGTGAGTCAGGATGCTTGACTTAGTAGTGGTTTAAAAGTGAACAGCCATATCTTCAGTCCCATGCACAATTGTAACTGTCATAAGTAACAAAAAATTGTGAGTAAAACACACAAGAGAGAAAGAAGAATCAACAAATTTGCTCACCTATATTCTTAAAATGATGCCTTGCCACTACCTTTAACCATTAGAGAGTTTTGAAAGACTAGTTATTCATTAGGCCAAACCAAAGCCAAGTTAAGGAAGTCCTTATGGGTCTGTTTTTATATGAATTGAAAGTCATGATTTGAATGAAATGATTTGAAAATTCTCAGATAATTCAGTCTTTACTTGAAGATTATCAACAGTGGATTTGGTAAGTTCTGTTTACAGCCAAAACAAAGAGTCTGAGACTTTCTTTAGTCAATAAATATTAAGTGAAATATTTGATCGATCTGATAGCAAACACTGAAGCAGGCTGCTTATGTAAGCCACAGTTGTAACAAGAGCCTTGGAAGATTACCTGTGGTAGGACTGCAGATGTGGATACTCAGAGATGTTGTTAGGATTTCCGAACTTATATAACTGTACCTTAGTGCTATATATTTCAACTGGGGCCAGAGTTCTTATCATTGCAGAAATGGGGATTTATAGCACTTTATTCCCTTTAGCATTCACGTAGAAGACTATGGAGCCCTCTCTCCTAGACTTGCTGATATAAAGATAAACATCTCTGCAGTGAACTTCCTAGGAACCACGTCCTCCTCCAGCTGGAGGCAATGGAAATGCTATCACTGCCTGCAGAGGTAATAAATTTTACTTCTAACATTTTTTATGACACCTTTTTCTGGAACAGATACATTTACTTGAGCATTTGTTGCTAATTGCCTGTATCTTTTGGGTAGGATTATGGTTAGATGAGACTTGTATTTCTCATGGTTTAACAAAAAAAGTATTGTGGAAAGGAAGGACTGTATTTTGAGCAAATCTTTTAAATATTGAATTTGTTTGTCTCCTTTTGTCTTCCTTTTTATTATCTATCCATTTAAAAAAGAAGGTTTTTATAATGTGAGGTTTGGCAAATAGTTCATGAAATGTAAATTTTATTTTTTTTATGCTATAGAGAGAGGGGAGAAAGAAATCCCATCATTTCAGCATCTTTCACACTAAGCTACAGCTCAATATGACTTGAAATGACAGAGATACCAACACCAAGAATAAGATCATGCAGGTGAAACGCCAGTTGACCCCTCTGAGCAGCTCTGTTAGCAGCACCACTCTTTACTCTTCCTGAAGTCAGTTCCAACAGGATGGGGCTTTGCTCTCAAATCCTGCATTGTATTATCACTTCTCCAGTGTCACGTCATTTATTTACAGGCAATTGTTTCCTTGATTCACAGCTATCCACACATATGTGATATGAAACCTTCCCTGCTGTATTTCCTGGGTATGAGCCTACAATGTGTTGATGTTGATATGAGATGCAGATGATCAAATGCGAGTAACAAATGGACACAGCAAAGGTGGTGATTAAAGCCTGTTGTAAACACACTCTGAGTTTCCGATGTTGCAATCCTAGACTGCTTCTGTGTCACTTTTGTGACTCTTTTCTTCACTGAGTACCTCTCATAGTCTTGTTTACTGTTAATGTTTCCATGCCAGACCTTTACATACTACTAAATGATCAAGGAAGCAGAACAGGTTAAAGCACTGACCTCTACAGTGCTGCATCTTCAACCTGGTTCTCCTCCTGTTTCACCAAATCCTGCGCTACAGAGGGTGCTGACACTAGGAATGGAGCTCACCTCCCCTAACATGGAGGGAGACAGACTACACATCAGTTGGTCACTTGCATTCCCCTTCATAGCTGATGGGAAGAACCAGACCCTGTAGGCTTTGATTCTTCATCTTACCTATCTATCTTAGACATTTAGAAGACCATGAATTGCAACCCACCTGTGCCTCCCACCATGGTGACAAGCTCAAATACAGTTACTTACACTGCACATGTCTACCTTTGCTCCCCATAATCTCATGCCCCTGGAGTCCAAGACAACTCCACCTCAAGCCATTTTCAGGATTTAGATAAACTTTTCAAACCTGTCCCCACTCGTCTTGAAGGCATTTTGGTAAATGGGCACATCATTAAAGGATTTCAAACAATAACTGAAGTCACCTAATGACAAAGCAACTTTTGCCACACACTAAAACCCATCCCTCTGGCTTTCACTTGTTTTGGTATCAGCAGGAAGCAGGGTCTGGTGAGGCATTTATAATCTTGTGCATGGATTCATTCACAATAAAAAAGGAAAAGATTGTTTTTCAGATAAAAAGTTGTCATACTACAAACTGAAACCCATTAAGTTCTTATGAGTTAAGATGTTAAGGGTCATGTTTGGTACTTCTGCCTTAAATAGTCTGGGCTTCCTGTAAAAATTAGAATGTGTAATTACCTTCTTTTGGATACTAAGAAGCCACAGAGCCTTTTCTACTGAATCCTCTTTTCTAAATCATTCTTTTTAAAAAACTTGTTTATCTATAATTTGGTCAGTATTTTTACAGCAAATTGTGACAGTTGTGAAAACTGACGGAGGAAGACGTCACTCAGTCAGGCTGGCTTAACTTAGTCTCCATTTAGCAATATTCTGCTTAATTTTGCTAATGGGGCTGGCCAAAAGGATCCAAATCCAAACTCTGCAATTCAAACTTTTATCACCATCTAAATAAACCTCTCATTTTGATTACAGAAAATGGAGCTTTGAATCTGAATGTTGTAGTCTGGGTTTCCCTCTGCTTCCTGTCTGGGAGCACCATTATGGCAACTCCTGGCACGAGCACCTGTCTAATTGAAATGCTAGTGGCATGCATATGTGCTAAATGAAAGACTGTAATGAAAACTTTACGAGTTAGTTACACTTTGAAGCAGGAAAGTGTTAAAGAGTTAAAAAGAACTCTTTTTCTTTTTTTTTTTTTTTCCCCCAGGTCCTTTAGGCCAGGAACTATTCGCAGACATGGAGCACATTTGGGATCTAACTGTTATTATTCCCTTTTGCAGTGTACTATCCACTATTCTTTAATTTCCATGACTATGACAGAGATCTCCACAGCGAAGCCTGACACAGTGATCTGAAACTCTCCCAGTGATTTTCAAACTGCAACCCATAAATCATTCACCTTCACCTGCACCCGAATTTGCATGAAGCTGGGGTCCATGGTCTCACAAACCAATTTACCAGGAGCCCAACCAACCCCAGCTGTGTGTGAAGCACATAACAGAATTACAAAGGTAGGTTTCAGATGGCTCCAGGGTTTGTAACGGATGCTTTGCGCAGCTGTAATGCTGAGTGGGTGAGGAGAGGGAAGAATGAAGTGTGGGTGGTGAAAATATTTACCGGCCATGTCATGGCCAAGGGGAGAAAGCACAGGGGCCTCCCAGATTCTGTGATAGGAAAGACATTGAGGCTTCCTGGACATGGGTCCTTGTTATTTATTTATTTCAGCTCTGACACATTCCCATTAGGAAAGAAAAAATATGTTAAATTGATACCGTGCCTTTTGAAAGCAGGGAGCGGTGGTGGCAGAGCAACCGAGCTGTCTTATAATCTGCTTCCAAATGTGTGGGTGCCTCTTGGGTTTCCTCAGCTATTTTGATGGCCCATTTTCAAAGATTTCTGTAATATCAGGCCAACAATGTCTGCATCTCCTACCACATCAGTGAAAAATTGGACTGTGTTTCAGAGTCATGTACATTCTTTCTATAAGAAACACTTATATTTTACAAAGTGTAAATATAGCAGCTCAAGGGGTGGGTGAATTCCTCCTTGGTTTGTCTCCAAGTTACATGGCAGTTACCACAAGGATGGGTTGGCTGAGAGTTTACCATTAGAAAAATAAGCAGTGTGTATAACTGAACTTGACAAAGGTTTCTTCCAAAATTGCCATGACTTTTTCAGAGGGTTCATATTTCATTCTTATTGTTACCCTGTTTTCATGAGAACTTACATGTATGTAAACCAAATCCAAAGCCAAGTATATGCTTCTTTACTGTATTATTACATGACAACAAAGCCATCTTCTAACTTCTTGACTTTTCATATTTCTTGTTTCTAGACAGGTTTTTTTTTGCACAAGTAAAATATATACAACAACTTTCATGTCTAAAGTCTTAGTAGTTTAAACACAGCCCATTCCTTTGTTGGCAACATAATTTTAGAGTTAGGACTTGATTGGACTGAAAAATATTAGACGTGTGTTGACTAAGACACTGTTAAAATTACAAGTTGTGTAATGTTTAAGTAATGATAGATATTTGGGGTCCAGGTTGAATGGTTGGCTGTGGTTCACAGTTGCAACCACAGCTAATATGGTTGTTAAAAGATGCTGTTCTCCAAAGCTATCAATGGTGCCTAACAACTGAGTTGCTCAAAATGCTGGGGTAAAATGATGACTTTATTGAAGTCTGTGGCAAACTCATTGATCTTCTAGGACGGAACGTTTGTTTTCATACAGAACAATGTACTCATTCAATCTCAAGCATAAGTAGGTTTTTCAAAGTAGGGTTTTTTAGCCAAATAGAAGTATCTTAAAGGACAAAAAAATGTCATTAAACCAGGGCAAGAATTAGTGACATTGATAACTGTCATGTTTGAGGTTTTAATGAAAGCAATGAAAATTTGGATCCTACCAGGATTTCATTTTTTTACACTAAAAGACTCAAGCAGCAAGAATCTGTAAGTGACACTCAACCAAAAAAAAGAGCTTTCTGAACAGCTGATACGAAACTTGAAAAGAGGCAAAGTAACAAATGTAATGTGGGGGGAAGCGCTTTCATTCCGGCTCAGGAACATCTGGTTTATTGCAACAATAACTACTGTAATTATATCACTGCTGGAAAAGCTGCTCTAGGTTAGGTTAAGTTTGTGGTTTCTATAATAAACACTGTTTTGCAGGAGTGGGGGTTTCAGTACTTCAGCCATGTCAGATCCTGCTGAACTGAGCTATGATTTGAAGCAAAAATAACAAAATATGGAAAACATAAAAGCATTATTTCCAACCATATATTTCTTGAGATACACTCTTGGGTTATTCCTGATTATAGCAAGTGGAGGCTATGTCAAAGAAGCAAATTGTTGGATGACTGACCATATTTCACTGATAAAAACTAAAGAGGTAATTTTTTTGTCAGTTGGAAATAGGCTTATTAATACTTACAGGAATACATATTACTGCAAAAAATAAACAAACATCCTGCAAAGGACATTATTCTCAATTGCCAAGTATATTTCCTGACTATTTTACAGCAGCAAGAAACAATCGTCTTTTTTCTTGCCAACAGAGCACATTTACTTACTGTAGCATCAGTCATATTCATAGTGGTGGTGTGGTTGCACTTGTCTCTGCCATGGGCTAGGAGTTGTGCATGAAACCCCTCTTATAAACTTCAAAATATGAATAAACCCATCTGTATTCTACAGTTAGGGCGTGCTGTGTTGAGATTCTCTAATAAATATTCTCTAAGTACACAATTTGAGTGTGTGAAAAAGAATGGATAAACATCTTGCCCATAAGGGGAAATGGGACTGTCATTCCACATATATGAAATCCCATTAAAACACTTTGTTACTATAGAAAGGTGTGCAGTAGATCCCAAGCTGCCTTAGACCTTGGAGAACTTAGGAATGATGGAGAACGATTTTTTTTTTATTGTAGTTCGCTTCCCTATCTCCATCTCAGGATCTGAAGTGGTTGCCACTATGTGTTCCAATTCCCACACTTGTACCAAACAGATTAAGTAGAATTTGCAAATTATGGTTATTGTCCTGGTTCAGATTCACCATTTTAACAACTGACCCAGTATTTCTGCATGCTGATGCTGGCAAAATACTACCTGAGCAAGAATAAGCTTCTTTTACACAAGCAAACATGGGTTCCTGTGTGCAGGAGACTTCTGGTTTATGTTCTCAGTGTTCAATGTCCTTCAACACCTTATGTCCTGCCTGGCAGCATGCACCCTGGGTATCTGGAATTACTGGAATATTTACACTACAGAACATTTAGGAGTGCACCTGAGAGCCTGGCAGAAAGCTGCTTTCACAGGCAGACATTTCATAGAATCACAGAATCATAGAATCACAGACTGGTTTGGGTTGGAAAGGACGTTAAGATCATCCAGTTCCAACCCCCTCCCACAGGCAGGGACACCTTTTACTAGACCATGTCACCCAAGGCTCTGTCCAACCTGGAATATTTTCTATTATAAATGAAGTTATCAGAAACCCAAATAATCACTTCACAACCCAATTTTCAGACCAAGCCAGACTTACCCAAAGCTAAGAAGGGAATCCATCTCTTGTCCCCAAGTAGAAATGAAGACCATTAGATGAGCCTTCCCAGGCCATGGTTATATGGACCCTTCATTCAAGCAGAAATCCCCAATGCCAACAAAATGCATAGTCCTCTTACACCTCGCTGCCTCTCCATAAATTCCCTCCACACCTCTAGTCCCTCAGTTAACTACCATTTGGTAGACCAGGGCTCTCCCAAAGAGTGATATTGTCAGCAGAGTGATCCCTGTTCACCACTGGATCAGATCCCGCCAGGCTCCCCACAGGAGGAATCACAGAACCATCAGAGTTGGAAGGGACCTCTGGAAATCATCCAGTACAACCCCCTGCCAAGGCAGGGCCACTGAGAGCAGGTTACACAGGAATGCATCCAGGCAGGTTCGGAATGAACTTGCTAGGACAGGGATGCTAGAGCCACTGCTGTCAGCAACAGCTCAGGCTGATAAGACACATCAGTGGTTATTCAGCTGTGCCCTCATTCCTCACGTGTTTATCTCACTGTGTTGGGCTGCATTTTGCTGTCTGAGATGATTTGATACTGAAGTGTATTTTTCCTAGTGCCCCCCAGCATCCCCCATTTCACAGCATACCTGCCATTGCTGAATAATGTACTAAATTAAAGTTGCATCTTTCTAACTGGCTAGTTTTTAACATTGGTCTTTTTTTTTTAATCCCTTTTCTTTCACTCCTCCAATTCAGAAACATCACTCTTAGAGCCTCCAAAGAAAAGCCCATAGGGGAGAACTCATTTTCCCTTCATCAGGAAACTTCAGCATCCTCCCCATGCTCTCCCATGGCGCTTTGGCCTTTCCTCTCTGGCTGAGCTCTGGACAGGATGCTGCTCACCCTAGAAGAGCTTTCCCACATGCTGTATTGTCAGGGGACCGCCTGACCATGATCCGTGGTTGCTGTGTGTGGACGTGGAGGCAGAAAGGGCTGGAGGGGCCATGCCTGAGGAGAGCAGCACAACTGCAGGACGGAGGCTGGGACCAGAATGGGTTTCTGTGGATAAGGAGCTGCTGGCCTGCCAGGATATGGGGGTCTGTACGACCAGCATCAATAAAGGCATTAAAAAGACAGAAAATAACAGCTTCTCAAATTGCAGCCCTTGGTTTGCAAAAGATTTTGTCTGTCCCAGAGTCGTGCATGCTAGGTTTGTAATCTGTCCACTTCTGCTGCATTTGCTTGGCAAGTACAAAGTGACAGGACACCTGATCTGGAAATGATTTGGCAAAAACCTCAGGCTACTTCTCACCTGTCCCATGTTAATAGCACTACCCTTACAGATGAGCTGCTGGTGGGGTTTTGAGTCCCTCCTGCCTTGTTTCCCACCAATAAACCTGGGCTGCAGAAACGTTACCAGAAATAACAAGCAATCCCACACCTGAAACTCAGATACTGTCATTCCCAGAGGTGAGGTGAGGTTGGGTCTGTGCTTTGGATCCACCTTTCACAGGAAGCTCTGAATTTCTGTGTTCCTGCTGCTGACAGTCAGTGGCACACGGGGCTAAACCAAGTCTCACTGGAAGCACAGTGTCAACACAGACTGCACAACTCCTATCCTTAACTGGATCACAAAATAAAGCAGCCTTGCAGCTTTGGGGGGGTTTTGTTCTGTTCTCTCTGTGTGTCTGTGTGGTTGTGCCAGTGGTAGCCAAACGATGCTTGGCAATACTTCCTGATTTTGTAACTGAGCTGTATAAATACAGCAAGGCTGAGATAATATCTAGTAATGTAATACTTTTCCATCCCTAGGCATTGACAGGAGTTGGTTCTTAACTACCCTGCAAGTTCAGACCTGAACAAGAACCCCTGAAGTGCAGCCATACAGAACCTACATCACTGAGGTCAATGGAGATGGGGAATACGAAGCATCATTTAGAGGCACACAGTATCTCAGAACATCCAATTCTCTGGCTGATCCAGGTTCAAATCAAAGCTATTGATATTGTCTTTAAGTCAATATCTTAGACCCTCGGTCACAAGAGGTTACATAAGATTAAAGAACTGAATTTTTTTAATCTATTGAATATTAAAAATGGCCACTTCTGGCTTTTCATTTACACCATCTGTTGCTAACAGGTTGTATCAGCAGTTTCAGGACAGATTAATAATTGTTCCTGATTTTGGCACACCAAGAGGTTAAAAATAAATCTTTAGCCACACGGAAGAGTCCCCAACCATTGATTTCTTAAAGATATTTTGGCAACTTGAAAAGAAAATACATGGTACGAGCCTTCCTAAAATTATTTCTCCCAGCCACATGTGATACAAATAAAACAAACCTCAAGAATCTGGCTTAGAATATGGAATAACATTATGCTACAGTCATTTTTGCTGTGTTTACCACAGAAAATGTTGAATTATAGGCATCACCATACATAATATTTAAATATTTCAATGATACCCAGAGCTCTCAACACTCTTGTTTCTCTCCCATGTTCACGAGGATTTGCCAGCAATGTTTTTAGAACAGACCAGTCATTTTATAGCAACTTCTTTCTATCAAGGAACAGGCACACACCACACAGCTGTACCTAAAATGTAGCATAACCCGCTGCTAGAGCATTCTGAGCATATTCTGGGGTGCAAAAGGATTAAGATAGTCCCAAGATGTATGTCCGAAGGCTTCTCTGGCCGAGGGGATCTGTGGTTTAGAGGCAGTGCTGTCAGGTCCCATGAGGCTGAATCCCTGCCTCAGTTCCCAGCTGAGGGTAGGAGTGTTTCTCCCCTCCTCCCAGGAGTGCAGCCCTGCCTGAATCATGCAGGTTCTGAAAGCAGAAATTCAACGCCTGTTCGGTTAATACCACTCTGCTAAGTTTCTGATTTGAGAATAATCCATCTAACCAGAAGTCCAACCCAAGAAGAGGAGGAAAACTGAGGGAGAATCAGGAAGGGAGCCTACAGAAACTTTCAGTTAGCTGAAACACAGAATCATAGAATCATCTGGATTGGAAAAGACCTTTAAGATCATCAAGTCCAACCGTTCCCCAGAACTGCCAAGGCCACCACTAAACCATGGCACTGAGGGCCTCATCTACACAGTTTGTGAACACTTCCAGGGATGGTGACTCCACCACTGCCCCGGGCAGCCTGTTCCAATGCCTGAACACCCTCTCCATGAAGAAACTGTTCCTAATATCCAATCTAAACCTTCCCTGGTGCAGCTTGAGGCAGTTTCCTCTTGTTCTGTCACTTGTTGCTTGGGAGCAGAGACCAGCCACCTCCTGGCTCCATCACGTAGTTGTAGAGAGTGATAAGGCCCCCCCTGAGCCTTCTCTTCCCCAGACTAAACCCTCTAGTTCCCTCAGCCATTCCCCATCACACTTGTGCTCCAGGCCCTTCACCAGCTCTCTTGCCCTTGTCTGGACTCCCTCCAGCACCTCAATGTCTCTCTTGTAGTGAAGAGCCCGGAACTGAACACAGGATTCAAGTATAAAGACTGAAGAGAATCACAAAACTGTTAGATGTCAACAGTGTGAGGATCAAAGATAAGCTCTTCAAATGCAGGTACCATCTTTTAATGTCCAAATAGCAAACAAAGGACAGACTACAATGGAGAAAAACAGCTATGTAAAACTGATAAGAAAGTTAAAAATAAGTTTCATTAAGCATCAGTGACTTTTTCAAAGGATGTTGAAGTGCACATGGGAATTGGCCCTTTGGACAGGATGGTGACTGTCTGAACAAGTTTTTCTACAGTTATTTGTTCCATTCATAACATTTTATCTTTCTGGCTACTAGAACCAAACGTTTCAAGAGAGTATCTGGCAAATACACATAAAATGCTGAACCCGTCTGAAAATCTGGTCATTATAAGGATACCCACTGGAAGCTGAATAATTCTGAACAGATGGTTTCTTACCAAGTACAATTCCCCATATAATACTAGGTTGTGAGCATTCATGGGAGGGTACTGTGGCAGGGAGGTGGGAAGGTATTTCATCACAGGATATTGAGACCAATTCAGAGGTGGGGGAAACTCTGACCTAGTCCACTTCTTCCAGCCCTTGCTTCCAGCCTTCTCCTGAGCTTTGGGTATAGCTGGTGTAGATGGAGCCTACCATCATTTCCAGCCTTCTGCCAGTGTGGAAAAGAAACTGGGGAAGCTGGACCATAACAGCAGCTGAGGCCAGCAGAGTGCTGCTGGCAGCGCAGCTGGGAGTATTACATTTCCATTCGGTGTCGGCTGGAAATATGTTATATAGAGCTTAATGGAGAGCGAGGGAAGAACATGGGATGAGGGTGGGTGCTAGTAGGGATTAAGGAAAGATCTGTTCTGCTGGAAGGAGGAAGCAGGAATGGGAAGACGGAATATCTTCTGAGCGAAAAGTGGATTTTCATGTAGATCTTCCTTAGTCTTTATTCATTGAGGAGTTTATAGGATGCTTCTGAATCTATGGGTTGGTGGGCGCAGAGTCCTACAGAAAATCAGATGTAGTAGTCCTGCATCTACTTTGAGCTGTTATGTTTGATTTGTCATCATCTGACAGTTTCATTTGAGGATCAAAGACCCTCCTAAATACACAGAAAAAACTTTCATAACACAGAATCATAGAATGGAAGGGACCTTAAAGACATATGGATATTATCACCTTTATTTTAATTAATGACTACCTAAGGCCCAGAGACACAGCTTGATCCAGTATCAGGGCATCCCATCTTGCCATCACATGCTCTGCCCACCAGCAGGATCCCCTCCTGCCACATGTGGCAGGGACAGAGTGCACTACGGGTGGTTTTTCTCCCTGGAAGCCAGTAGCAATGTCCACTGACACTATGCTTAACCAGATCACTCTGTGGTCAAACTAGGAAACATTATTCATCCTTCTTTTGGGACTGCAGCAGATCCCTGCATGAAAAATGGTCAGCTAAAGAAGTATGCTTCGACTAAAGCTACATGATTTAATTAAACATTAGATTAACTCTCCCCAAAGGCACCAGCAAAAACCACCACAAGCATATATGCAAAAGATGGATGGTTGTGGATGGACCTACATGACCTTTTCCACAACCTTTTATATAACACTAGTACAGGCTTAGACAAAAAGTAGTCTTGTTCTTTCTGAGCCAGCATGAAGTGCAGCCAGGAAGTGTTAGTCATGAGAGAGTTTTGGTTGTTGTAGTTTGGAACCCCAACTGGAGTGTTCGCTTTGTACAGTGCCACTAAATGCTAAAACATCTAAATCAAGAGCTGGCCACTATCTCTGTCAAATCATGTTTCTTTTTAAAATAGTTTTTGACTAAACTATTGCTGTTAGAAGAAATTTTCTTCTTTACGCCCTCACACCACAAGGCAAATGCAAAAGAAACAGCCAAGGAACTGAAACAGCATATCTTCAGTAAGATCTTGCAGGATTTCATATTAAAGTATTCTGAATTGTGTTTTAATGGGGAAAAATAAAAAAAGAGAGATTACTGGTTTTGTAACCAAAATAGAAAAGATGTAAGATTTTTCTTGGAAGGTTTTTATCCTCTAGAATGAAACTGAATATTTTTCATGGGTTAGTCTGAAAAACTTATTTCCAAATCTTGCGAAACAATACATCTTTCTTTAGTTATGAGCCATTCACAAGGGTACATCCACCTTGTAGGCTCCTGTGTTCTGGTCACTTTCGAAATTGCCACTTTTGGCCAAATAAACAGCGTTTTTGCACAAAAATGAGATTTGCTTCTACAATCAATATGATTTTCAGCAAAGCATTTGAGCAGTAAGTACAATTGGTTATGTGCACTTTTAATTCCTGAAGTGAATCATGGAAACTCTACCATAATAACGTGCTGTTATTAAGTGCTATACAGCTACAGTTGCTATAAAAACAAAGAAGAAATCTGAGGGGGTGAAATAAATCTTCAGCTGGTACAAGTCAGCGTGGCCTTACAGAACTGATGAGAGCTCCACCGATTTAAACAGAGGTTTTGATATGGCCCATGGTTTATTCACTAAACTGAACGAACTGTGGTGAAAGAATAGGATTTGCCCTGAAATCCACATTCCTAAGGATCATTTAAGAAGGCCTTCTCAAACATGAGGTACAGTGTGAAAAATAGTGTAGAAGGTATGGTGGATAAATGATGCCACAAAGGAGACAGATGAGAATCAGGATGACAAGCTGAAGCTACCAGGTGCTGGAGCAGGTACCGAGGTTCAGAGGTGGTGCTGGCTTGAGATGGAGTTGAAGCACAAGTACCCTGCTTTCTCCAAGCTGCTCACTGCCTCTTTCTCCTGTCCATGCTGTCTTCTCTCTCATGAATATCACTGTCATTCAGCTAGATGGTCCACTGCCCCCCCCAAATCACACAGGGTTAAAATTAATTTGGCAGAAGACTGGGTGGGTTTAACCTGGACATGTTCACAAACCATGCAGATGAGGCCCTTAGTGCCATGGTTTAGTGGTGGCCTTGGCAGTGCTGGGGAATTGTTGGACTTGACGATCTTTAAAGGTCTTTAAAGGTCTTTTCCAACCCTGTTGATTCTATGATTCTATGACTCTGTGACTCCACTGAAGCAGATCCCTTATGACTGCTCCACAGCACATGGTTTAGGCTAAAGGAAATACTGGCTCAACGCCTTCCAGCAGGGTGGGTCTTCCCAGTATGTGATCTCCTCCCATTCCTGGGAAGCAAACCAGGGATGTGTTACCTCAGTGGCAGATCTGCCTTAAGCATCACAAAGTAACACTGAGCCGTGAGAAGTGAGACTTCAGAGGAGGTCAATTGAATTCAGGTCCTAACAGGTATGTTATTCTCAGCCCTGCAAGCTTCTGTTTGGAGCGTTAATTTGCTTAAAGAGTAAGATTATTTTAATCACTAATGCACCCTTTTCAGGCATGTTGCCTCTATTTTGTGCAGGGCTTTGAAGAATTTCATAACAGTGCCTTTACATCACTGCACTCAGACACAATGTTAACCATTGTGAGATAAAACATGTTTTTTTACATTTGTATTAGTGTGGAGCTTTCCATTAGCCAATATTTTCCTTTTCCCATTATGAATATTTCAAGCCATGTATGTTCTTATGGGGAATGATATAGACATCTGAATTTTAGGAAAAACAATGCTACTTCTAAGTGGCAGCAGAGCAGGGTGGTTGTATGTTACCTACTCATAAAGTATGATCAAGACTATGTCAGAAAGTGGTGCAAAGCAGAAGGCATGGAGGTATG